TGTACGTACTTACGAGTTAACAATTGCTTATCGATTTTTTTTTATTATTTTGTAGTCTTCCTTACATCCCAGTCTTCTGCAGCTTTCGGTCCGCTCCATCAAACCTAGCAATGACACTTTTGTGTTTCATGCTCACCGACCCTACGTTGGCGACCCCCCCCCACGTCCCCGCGCCCAAGATAGCCCCCCCCCTTCCCATCAATGGGGTTTCGCACGAAAAGAAGGCTGATGAACGGAGCGGTTAAATCTGTAAAGAATACACTCATGAAATATTCCACGTTTTTTTCAGCATCACGACTTTTATAGCTCCACTCCTACTACCAACTGAAACCTCATAGGGTTTTCCGGTGGCGACTGACCTTGTGATTGTTGAGTTCTCATTGGAAGGTGGGGCGGTCCGACGCCGCCGCGATCGATAATGGCTGCTACGCCAATTGGATGATTTCTATTGTTTTCAGCTTTGAAAAACAAAAGTATTCTTCGTCCAGCTTCAATAAGAAAAGGTGAGTATGTTCCAATGAAGCTAGGTTTCATTTTGCATGAATTTAGTCACTAGCATCGAAGTTAAACAAAGACATTCAGGAAAAGAAAAAATTGCGAAAAGAAGTAAGCAACTAGTTTTCTAAGAGAGTCTCATGCTGATTCCAGGCAAAATGTAATCTCATTCCACTACACATACTCACCTCTGGAAATGAAGTCGAAACTAGAATAATTTCAGCTCCTAAAATACAGCAGAAACGAGCTGATTGGTAGCGTTAGCAATACCAGTCGGCGAGAGGTTAGACGGAAGAGTGAGGAGGTGGTGCGGCGGCGTGTGTTCAAGCGCAGAGTCAATGTTAGAGAGGGCAGATACAGTGATGGTGATGGTCCGAAGCTCCGCCTTCCACCGACACGCCGTACCGCTCGCCAGCATGGTCGTAGGACCGCCCCGCCGTCGCGTGAGTACAGCATGTACGACCCCCCCCCCGGCGGCCAAGTACGACCACCCCCGACCCATGGGTTTCGCACAACGATGCTGTACCCTGAATCAGAGTCATGTTTGTGACTGGAACACTGAATCACCCAGGATGCAATTCTACACCAGGTTTAGCGTAAAAAAACCTGTTACGCTAGAAACTGGTGCAGCTTCACGACAAGCGGTGCCAGCATCAATAAGAATGATATACACATCATGTTAACAGTTTATCGGATGTTATCAGCTGCGGACACTTACTCTCACCTAACAGTAGTGTTCTCGACCCACACTCTTCATCACAGTTTGGAACTGACCATCTACTGTTCCAATGTTATGTTTTTGGCGACCCATATAGCCTTATAGCGGATGTTACTCTTCTTATCAGATATTATCAACTGTGGTCATGCTTTATCACTCACCTATACTTTATCACCCACCTATAATGTTCTCGTCAGACACTCTGCACCACTGTTTGGAAACGACCCCACTGTTGCTGCTACGCCTGCTACGAGTCTGCCTACCCTCTCTTGTATAACCTCTTATGGGATATCAACTAGTGTCACTGCATGTCACGCCCAGTGGTGTTCTCGTCCCACACTCTACATCACTGCTTGGGAATGACTGCTGTTGCTGCCACCTGTGGTATGAGTCTGGTTACCTCCCCCCATCCATAACTTTTACGGGATCTTATCAGTTAGGGTTACTATTTGACATGCACCAGTGGTGTTCTCGTCCCACACTCTGCATCACTGTTTGGAACGACCCTACTGTTGCTTCCACCCGTGGTATGAGTCTTGTTACCTCCCCCCTTCCATAACCTTTCATGGGATCTTATTAGGGGTTACTGGTCACGCCCCAGTGGTGTTCTCGTCCCACACTACATCACTGCTTGGGAATGACTGCTGTTGCTGCCACCTGTGGTATGAGTCTCTTTACCTCCCCCCATCCATAACTTTTACGGGATCTTATCAGTTAGGG